GGCCGTGTGTTGAGGAACAAGTCATTCAGGATTGATCCATACACTGGAAAGAGTCTGACGACGCGTCCCGCCAAACCGTCTTGGAATGCTGCTGTGCGGTTCGCAGGCCAATTTTGAGCGAAGCGCTCCAGCTTTGGACCCCCCAATGTTGCCCCGAGGCTGGGCGACAAGTTCAGTCCAAAGTACAACAATAACAATAACTGTTGTTTCTTTTTGGAAAAGATATAATTACTTGGATGCAAGAACTTGTATAACTTGATGATATATATATATACCTTGCTCCTCCACTGGTCTCTTTTTTGCGGTTCTGCTTTATCTTATACTATATACGGCGTATACGGTTTGTGAAATTCCTAAACTTTTTGTGCAAAGTGGGCTTTTGATACCTTGGCAGAATTCAATAGGATTGGCAAGCCGCTACAAAGAGAGAGAGAGAGAGAGTTGACAGTTAACACATCAAGACGGTAGAACCAGAAGAGGATAACCAGTAGCTAGCAATTTATCAAGGAAGTTGGATGCTCTTGCCCAAAAGAGAGCTAGATGCACGGCTCCACACACAAATCTCTCTCTCTCTCTCTGTCTGTGTCTGTGTCTGTGCCGGTCTGTCTGTCTCTTTTAATCCCATGGAGGATTTGCATCGAAGCCTTCAGGACATGAGCAAGAGCGGGAAGCGCCAGAGACCAGTGCACAGGGAGCGCCCGCACACCAGGACTGGTACTTCATACACTTGAGCAGTTCCAAATCTCAGGGCGACTTGATGTACTTTGCCATTGCAACGCTGTTTCCGACGTTCATGATGTCTTGAACCTGTTTACAAACAGGTGGTGAGCATGGCTGCTAGGCACCAGGTGGCATAAGGTGTTAGGAGCCTCCATGCCATGCAGAGTCTGAATGCAGGGAGGATTGGATCCAAAATGAATCCCACCTATGGATCCACATGTCGCAGGGAGATCCAGCTCCACCTGAACATTCCCTTCCCAGCAAGACCGAGCTCTTAGAGAGGGGGACCGGGCCCAGTGGGCGTGTGTCAAAGAAGACACAGAAGTTGTGAAGCTGTAATACCTGCAACCTTTGGAGCAAACCATAGACATGGTGTCCAAGCAAACTAACTTGAAGCAACCATGGAAGTCATAAGCTTCTTGGACTGGTTTGAGTCTAAGCCCCAGATCCGATGAGCGCCTTGACACCTTGACACTGAGGTGGGAATGGCCTCCCTGGTGTTTGAATTTCAAGTCTCCCAACATCGAGGTGGATGTCGGGCTGAACATTTTTTGCAGCCACAGGGCAGGTCGGACACATTAATGAGTGCCTGTTCTTCTGTTCTTCTTTTACTCTCCCTCTCCCTCTCCCTCTCCCTCTCCCTCTCCCTCTCCCTCTCCCTCTCTTTCTTGTCAAACCGCTTTTCCAGTCAGAGGGCTGCGATCCTCGCCAATCACTGTAGCCAAAGATGCTGCATGCATTCGCAGAGTTCCTCCACATTTATGACTTCTTCCACCTCGAGAGTAGCAACAGACTGATTGTGCCCATCGTATGTTTCACCCACTGTCGGACGTCCTGTCGCTGTTGTGCCCATCCAGGTTTGGGTGCTGGATGAGGATGCGGGCGTCGGAAGGCGGGCCGCTGGTTTGGCCGGTGGTCTGGCCACGGGTCTGGTGAAAGCTTCTATAGGTAAGACCAGTGAACCACAAAGGTCTGGTGTTTCAACAAGTGAAACACAGTAAGCAAAATTCTGATGGGAGTCGGTGCCAGGATGGAATATGATGGAACACATTGGGAAGAGAGTTTTTTTCTGCTTGAATTCTCAACAGCGAGCTACCCAAGCAAGCCACATGTTTTTCCTCTTTGTCCCGATCATCTCGTATCAGATGGGTCTCGGCGCAACCGCAAAGCCGGGTGGTCGACAAGGCGAGGTTGGGATGATCATCATGGTCACACCTGTTCGGTTTTTTCAACTACCAACAGGAAGAAATGGGCATAGTGCTGTGTATCTCGTGGAGACGAGGGAGACTGAATCACTGAAGGAGACCGCTTGGATACTGTTGGAAACTGATCGAGGCTGATGGAGACCTCCCAACAAATGGATCGAGTTTTACACATGAGGCGGGTCGAGATGCTTACCTCTGCGCCGAGTACCTCTGGGAAGCGGAATACTATGTGCAGGCGCCGAACTGGGGGCATTTCGTTGGGACCCACTAGGTGCTAACCATGTGAGCTGATCAGCATTGAACCGCATCTCGCGGATCCCCGTAGCATGGCTCAGAAACTCAGACTATTTTTGTGAGTCACTTCCTTTTAAATGCTTTTTTTTGGTGTTAACAGATTAAAACCAAATGCCATACACGACGATCCATTTGATCGCATTCGCTGTGCCCGTTGAAGCCTACGAACTCTGGCATTGCGCGCCACGCTTAAAAGTTTCCCTTTAAGAAAACAGAAACCAAACGATTAGTGCGAGCGCTTCTTCATCCTGCGTCCAGTAGGTAGTAACCAACTAGTAGCTAGGAGCGAACTTCTCCCTTACTTGAGTAGGCGCCTACTTAATTAAGTCAGGAAGGCGTACTATGAAGTAAGCAAAAACGCCACAGCTCCATTCCTGAGGACTTTGGACCGCAGCATGCTTGAAGCTCAGTGTTCCGGTGAGACCGATTGCTTGAGTCCGAAGGAGTCCGAAGGAGTCCCATGGACACCGCACCTCGAAAAGAGCCAAAGGTGCACAGAAGAAACTCCTAGCCCTTGCTCTCCGACCATTTAAGTACTGTACACACTCTGTACACATGTACAAATCCTTTTGGGTCTTCGCAGAGCAGGTCGCTACGGCTGAGGTTCGCCGGAAGGGTGAAGCTCGCACGGTGCTGCAGACACTCACACAGGCTCGTTCTGGGCTCGGCGGTGGGTGCGAGAGAGCAAAATTCCTTATAGAATCTTATATAAACATATTTCAATTTCAACATGTTTAGAAAACTCCTGCTGGGAGTCACTGATCAATGGTTTTGTGGGCGTTGTTTCTATCAGATGTGTTGGAAGATGTTTGAAGGTGTGGGTGTTCCAAGTGTTTCGTGGTTGCAGTATGTACACTTTACAGCTGTGCTGCACTTTTGGGACACGGCGTTCTCCGTGAGCCGCAGAAGTTTACAGTATGCCTTTCAGGGCTGTTGGGTACGTTCAATCCAAAAGCCTTAAAGACAAGTTCTCGACACGTGGCCCCAAGATTCCAAAGAAGTCATGAACTTTCTCTATATGAACATGTAACATATATGAAGATCCTGATCCCCTGGCATCCTCTAAGAAGTGATCAACTTTTTATTTATTTTTTTTAAACAGTCCCCCAAATCTCCAATTTGTCCTCGTTTGATTGATCTATCCATTGACCCTCCCAGGATGATGTCGAGCTAGACACCACCAAGGCAGGGCAGCTTGTGGAGTGGGTGGGTGGAAGCGGCAGAGAACACGTGATAGTGATAGGGTGTATGCATCAGACATCTTACAATATTTGCATCGAATAAAATGCACTCTTCCACTCGAAGACATTGATTGAACGACAAAAACAGATAACATGGTTACCCCTGCTTGGCAGTCAATCAAGATTGTCTTTTTTGCTGCTTGCAGTGGGGATGGATACGGATCCAGTATGACCCAGTGTTCTACACAAAAAACATGTAGCTTGCCGCCTTGGGATTGATGTAAAAAGAATCGAATCTTTGGTCGGACTCACATGCATCGAGTATGGTCTCGAGACATCTCGAGACCTGATCTCGGGGATTCGGTTTAGAGTCTAGAGTGGAGGTGGGGAGTAGGTTTGAGGCCATCGCTCGTAGGTTGAAGGCCATGACAAAAGACCATGAAACGGAAGAAACGCGAAAACCCTCCACCCTCAGCGCCATGGGCCAATGGGCGCATGGAGGAGTTGTTTTTGCCCATGTCTTGCCATGATAGATTTAGGAGTGGCATCCTGTGGATTTGGCTACAGGAAATAGCTGTTGTAGGACCTTCCGGCATGAAACTGACTTGATGCCACCAACATCAACAAGACCATCCAGCTCTCATTGCTAGCATCAAGACTTTCCCTCCCGCTCCTCCTTCTTTCGGTGTCGCTGTGCCGCATATCATGTCGTCCATATATGGGCGTGTGGGGACAGCTCGAGTCGCCGCCCAGTAGCATTGGGTCCAATGCCCCACCGCACCGTTCGCTTCTTTGCTGGCTCCCTTCGTCAAGCATTCCCAAACTATGTTTGTTTTTCCTGGCTCATTCCTTCTTTGTTTGGGAATCATTCCCTTCTTTGTGGTGATTGTGGAATGATTCCCAAACATTTATGTAGAGAGACATCCATTGAACTGGAAGATGTTTGCCCTTTTGAGCCCCTTATCGGAGCTGTGGAATCTCTTTTTGGTTCGACCTGTGTGTCGAACAAAGTTGATCAGGTCTTCAAGAAGAATGGTGATGAAGCTTTGATGGACACGAAGGTATCGCAATGTGCAGAGCTGACCCAAACATGATTCATGCAGATGCATTCAAGACTTCAGATTTGATCCCAGAAAAAAGCTATAAGAACATAGTTTTTTTCTTATATTTTTTTGGTGGAACTTTGCTCCGTTGCAGAGCGGCAGGTGTTCAAGGACAAGAAAAAGAAAGAAGGCACAGCTGCGAACTGCATTGCTGTGGAGTGCGCAACAGCTTCGCGCAACATAAAAGAACATCCACCAAACAGAAACAATTTGGAAACGGAGGGAACCGACGAGAACGAGAACCAACGAGCATTGGCCCTCGCAAGGTGGCCTCATGTCGCTGCTGGAAGTTGCTGGCCTAAGTGTGAGATCGAATCGTACAGGAGCTTTTGAAAACGAATTTCAGAATTCCGCGCCGTGTGAAACCCCCAATGTTCCGCGCTTATTTTTGGACCATGCCATGACGAAGAAGGACCAAGCCAGACGAAATGACCAGAGTGACTAGAGTGACTTGGGTGGATTTTTTAACTCTGAAGTCTTTGACAACCTCTTTGGACTATTATTCACTATCAGGGGGTGCCTTTGAAACGATCGGCAACCTCTACAGATGTGGTTTAAATAAGTGTGGCAGGACGCACAAGTTTTTGCAGTGAGCGGCCGATCTTGCTTTCAGATATTGTGTTTGTGAGTGGCTAGTGACTGCTAGTGCCTTGGAAAACTGAGGATTGAGCTGATTGACCTGACAATCCTTTGCATTCTCAGGCGTGGCTGCCGTGCACAGGTTTGGAAGAAACGTTGCAGGTCGGGGCTGGCGATCGGATGGTGTGCTCAACTCTCTTGGCAGGTCAAGATCAACTCAGTGAGGCCATTTGCAACACCTCTCTGCGCGGTTCCTTGCCCAAGAAAGGCCCGACAATGCCCAAGCATCCGACAGGTCACTGCTTTCGCTCAGGGCAAATGAACCTCGCGCTTTCTTCCTGCCCCAAGCGCTGGGGTGCATAGCGTTGCGTAGCTAGTTTTATTATTTGGCCTCACTTCCAAAGTGCCATTCAGACAGTGGGTTGAGCCTGTGACAGGCTCAACCTGTCAGGAATTCTTTGGTGGTGTAAAGCTGCCAATGTCCCGGATGAGATCCGTATGTCTGTGGGCAAGATTAGGCATGGTAAGAATCGGTATGTCCCATGTATTTCCGATGTGGTTGCCTGATACTATGGATAGAAGCCGACGTCGTGGTCAGTTCGGGTGGAATCTGCTCTCGGCTGCTTGTGGAGATCCAAAACCAAGCAGTACTTGTAATGTCATTGTAATGTGATTTCTGTCAACAAATGTCGTGTTGGAATTGCGAGGAACAGTGAAACGTTTTAATGTTTATTTCTCACCCATCAAGATGATCCGACTTCTAAGTCAAGCATCCCTTTGGAACTCTCATATAGCTGCTGTCGAGGGGCGCCAACAGTGTGAGCCTCGCGCAAAAAAGCTTGTTAAAAGATGCTCGAAGCAACACGAGCGGCCCATAGGCAGTGAGGATCCGAACAGATGCTATTTCTGACGAATCCAATACGCATACACAATTTGGCTTGTCCCCTCACTCGTCTCCAAAAGAAGTACAGTATCACTATTACTCCCCTCACTCAGTCTTCGAAATAAATTATCGCTGTCTTCTGGACCCTTTCTTGCCCCATACATTCGGCTGTTGTTGGGGCGGGGACAACTATTGTAATTCTATGTCATGTTGGAAATCGGAGCACGTGCTTTCTTTCCTGCTGTTTCTTCCGCGTACCACATGGGCGCAGCTGTTTCTGCGCAGCGTTCGGCTCAGAGTTTCCGAAAGTTTCTGGTCCAGGCGGCCAGACCTCATTGACCAACTTGGAATCAGCTACAACCTAGCTGTAGCTGCAATCACTTCATTCCAAAAATAGAATCAAATGTTGTGTGCTTCGTGATTCCTGAATTACTCCAGTGTTGAATTTATTTCAGGCATTTTGATCGATCCAAAAAAGAATCTACCCACGCCAAGTGAGCAAGGTGAAGATGGTCTCTACAGCACGGCATCCTGTGAGCTTGATCCTGCCAAGGCGGTCAAGATGGTCGTGGCCCAAAAGAGGGGGTAAGGAGATGGATGGGTGCTCATTTTTCATTTATGTGCCTACCAAGTGTGTCTAGGGGGTCAATTGGTAACTCTCCGCGGCACCCTACTCGATGCCAGGCGTCGCTTTGAAGCTTCGGGATGGACACCTTGCAGGCTAGGGCCAAACTGGTTTTGCAGCTCACAGCTGTAGCGCGGTGTCTCCATCTTGAGAGCCTCATTTTGCTCGGGTTGAGGTTTGCCTCAGATGAATTTTGCGGGAGCCCAAAGACAAAGGTGCGAGTCTTGCAAAGAGCCTTTGCAGGTTGAAGTTTGTGCAGAATCCAAGAAAGCTGACACCTGATTGCTTGCT